GGACAGGGCTTGGAGAAATCTGGAATAGTGGAAGATGTCCCTGCCCATGGCAGGGGATGGAATGAGATGTGCTTTAAGTTCCTTTCCAACCCAAATCGTTCAGTGATTCTGTGATACTCCATCTTGTCTAAGTTTGGCTTTGAAATGCTGAGAACATGATGCTGTGTGTAGCTCGTGATAGTGCTACTTCTTTTTAAGTTGGTGCTGCAGTTTTTAAGTATCACTCTTCCTAGGTTTTTATTCTGTTTTGAGTGTGTTTCTTGTTCATGATGTTAGTACTGACAGCTTTCTGAAGGCTTTATTTTCTTTAGCCAGAATGTTTGTGGGAATGATTTGACCTACCTGACAAAGTGGAAATGTTTTCCTTGGTTCCTTGACCTCTTTCTTCTTGTCCCTATGGACAACCATATAGAGCAAGGGCATTGAAGTCATGACTGTCAAAGCTCTTTGAAAACACTGAATTAATCGACCAGTGTTCTGTAAAACCAGAGTTAAATCTAAGTGTCATGTGTGGGTGTGCTTCCTGAAGGGAAGGCAAGTAAAGATTGCAGGGAAAAGCAATCCCAGAAGAATTACTGTGCTGTTGTTTTGGTTTTGGTTCAGCCCCCTGTCGTGTGCAAGGCAGTCAGACCTTCAGACTGCTGCCTAAGAGAATTGGTTCCCTGCAGGAAGGTGGTGAGTCATGGATGACACTGCTGTTTCATTAAGGACATGTGTGTGGTGACTGCAGTCTTCAGCCATCCCTTGCAGGTGAAATTCACTGAGAAACAATTCTCTGGAGGGGTCACATGTGAGAACCCTGAATTCTCCAGTGCTGCACACGACCCATTTCTGGTATTTCTGTTGCTATTACTGTGCTCACCTCTGTTAATACCCGGGCGTGCCTGAGGATGCAGTTTGCAGGTCAGTCACATTGAGGAGTTTTCCATTCCCATGCCACAGGAAAAGCTGTAATGCAATCCTCTGAAAAGCTGGAATTCCTGTGAGCTGAGAGAAAGGCTGGCTCAGCTGCAGAGCTGCCAAGTGGTGGAGTGGAGCCCAGGGCTTTCTGACAATGGTAGCCCCAAAGTTAAACTTGTGCAGCATCAGGCATGGGGCAAGGCTGAGGAGCAGCTGCCATTTTCCCATCCCTGGGAGTGTTCCAGGCCAGGTTGGACCGGGCTTGGATGACCTGGTCCAGTGGAAGTGTCCCTGCCTCTGGAAAGGTTGGAATGAGATGGTCTTCAAGGTCCCTTAAAGCCAAACCATTCTGGGGTTCTTTCATATGTGGCTTAAGCAGAATTTTCCTCTGTGTTAGTTCAGAACTTGATTTCTCTCATTCTTTTTCAGATGAAATCTCTTTCAACAATTGTGCCATTTATTTTGCCTAGGAGAGTGAGAACTGAAAGGCACATCATAAATTTTAAAAAAGAGCTGTGTCTGGTAGGGATGCAGGGTGATACTGAGAGATAAAGGGAGTTTATTCTGTATGAGGAGTGCAAGAGGAAACGTTGAGATTGTAGAGGGGAGAGGACCAGCATGTGTTTGTGTGAAATATGTGGATCAATACACTGAACAAATATGATTTAGTGATACAGTATCCTGTGGACATTATTGACTTTGAGGTAATTGTCAGGAGATGCTTATTATGACAAGTCCTGGCTTACAGAATTGCACTGATGTATTTTTAGCCTCTCACCTGCAGCTTTAGGTAGTGAGTCAGAGCTGTTTTATGATGAGAAGTGTTTACAGCTTTTAATACACCAGAAAACAGTATGAAGCCCAAGCCAGAGTAATTCCTTTTTTTTGTAAAGGACCTATGACCATATGTTCAGAGTAAAATTAGCCTTGACATCAAGGTGTTCTTGATCAATAGTGCCTCGATTTGGGCTGTTTTCATTTATGCTTTCTCTTAAGGGAAAAACATACAGATGTTTAGTAAAATTATATGTGATACTGCAAGCAAGTTTCCAGAACTGTAGTCTTTTTCCTATTATTATTTCCCCAAAGTTGAAAGCTTGTACTCATTTCACCTGTGTTCATTGTTACATTATCTGGGTCATCCAAAAGTGGAGCACTGTGACCTAACTCCTCAGTTTTGCTCCTAATAAAGTGCTAGATCTACACAATTTACAGATTGGCTAATCACTGTGCCAATGAATTGGCAAATGATTTACAGATTATCAAAATCTTAGTTAATTTCCTATGCTGTTGTTTTTGGAAAGGAAGTTAATCTACGTTTTAGATTAGATTTATGGGAATTGTTGAGCCTCAAACTAATTGTGATTTTAAATTGATTAACAGTTCTGATGGCACTGTTAAGTTTTTCTGTGTCTCCAGTGTGTTTTGCCTGCTGAAAATAGGTATTTCAGTAATTGTTCAGATGTTGCCATGGTTTTAGAATGTAGCTAAGGGTTACATTCTAGACTTGCTTTGTTATGAAATTACTGTTTTGAAAATATTTTTCCAGTCACTAAAATATTATGTGAAACTTAAGATGGATCTGAATCACAGAGTAATTTCTTTTTCTTTTTTTTTCCTGTCAATAGGTGAAATTGAGTAACTCTTCTTAGGTGTCAGGGACCTGTTGTGTTGATTGTTTTCTGTGTTGATGAAACAGTCTGTTCTGTGATATTTATAGATTTTTGCTTAGAAATGTTGAAGCCTTGTGCAAGAGCACAAAACCACACAGTGGTAGACAGTCTTCATAGGGCAGCTAAAGGACAGGGATTTGTTTGGTATATTTATTTTTATCTTTAATATTATGAAAATTAATATGTTTAAAAGGGCTTTTGGAGTCATAATGCTGACAAATACTACTTTTGGTGTTGGTGGGATTTGGGATGCAAGATGAAGGGATTCACTTGGTAGTGACACTGTTAATTTTTTATTTTCTTAGGAAAAAAAGAAAAGAAGTAATGAGGAGCCCCAGGTACAAGAGCCTGATGATGTTTTCCTGCCTCCTGTGGCAGAAGGGTCTTCTCAAGCCGGGAGGGTGCAAGTGGAACATACTGCAGAATTCACAGAAATTCAGCTCAGAGATGAAGTAGAAAATAGAACAACTGTAACTGATGTGTCTGACACCCCCCAAAATCAATTATCCTCAGCAAGTGAAGGGGCTCGGGCAGTGGCTTTGGAGCCTCCCAAAGATGCAGAAGAGGTCAAAGCTGATCCTTCCCAGGAGGAATGTGTGGGGGCCGTTGGGAAGAGCAAGTTGGACAAACCTCAGAGCCCGGTGGAGGCAGGTGCTAGTGGATCTAGAAATTCTGACTTTCTGAGCAGTACCTTTCAGTCCAGTACTGCTCCCCCTCTGTCCGTGATGGGCTTTGTGCAGGGCAGAAGAGCTGAAAACCGACCAGACTTCAGAGATCCTCTCTCCAGCTCTTCAGAGAAGCTTCCCCCCAGCATGTCCCAGCGCCCCGAGAAGTGCAGGGCGCGCGTTCCGCGGCCGGTGTACCCAGACCTGTCCCTGGAGCTGTCCTACGAGAAGCCCACCATCATGGCAGTGAAGCCCCTGCTGCACCACGAGAGGCTGTACCCAGAGCTGCCCTCCGAGCCGGAGCTGGTGCCTTTCACCAGGGAGCAGCTGAAGATCTTTGAGCCCTGCTCCTGGCTGGAGAACGTCGACTCCTACGCCGAGGAGTTTGAGAGCGTGGCTCACCAGGACAGGCACGAGTTCTACGAGCTGCTCCTGAACTACATGCGCTGCAGGAAGCAGCTGCTCTTGGCTGAGGCAGAGCTGCAGGCCATGGCAACAGACTGCCAAAATGTGAAGGGGAGGTTATGGACTTTCAAGGAACAGCAGAAGACTGTGCAGGTGCTGTTGCTGAAGCTGCTTTTGAGCCCAAATTATTTGGAAGTTAACTTTACTTGCCAGGTTTATCATAGTTGAGGTGTTTTGTTATAAAAGAATCACAGAATGTTAAGAGTTGACGGGGGGACTTAAAAATCATCTAGTTCCAACCCTGCTTTCTATGGGCAGGAACACCTCACACTAGACCAGGTTGTTCAAGGCCTTATCCAACCTGGCTTTGAGCACTGCCAGGATTGGGGCAACCTTCCTGGGCTGCCTGTGCCAGTGTCTCACCACAGCCACAGTAAAGGGCTTTTTTTCTTAATAACTAGCCTAAATTCCCCCTTGTTTCAGTTTAATCCCTTTAGTCCTTGGTTCCTTGACCTCTTTCTTGTTGTCCTGTTCTGTAGTAACAGAACTACAGTTACTGTTACTACAGTTCCTGGTGAAAAATCCTTGTCCAGCTTCCCTTTAAGCCCCTTCCAGATACTGGAAGGTGCTGTGAAGTCTCTACACTCCTCCAGGCTGAACAGCCCCACCTTTCTCAGCTTGTCTTCATAGGGAATCCTCCAATCCTCTTACCAACTTCTGTGCTTCCTCTGACTTTGTCTGGCGCTAAAGTTCCATGTCCAGAGATTATTGTCTTTGCTTTCTGTCTCTCCTCTGAGCCCCAGTACTTCAGAATATCATCCTCTTGAGACTTAAGACAGTTTGTCATTTGATTTTTGACCTCTGATGTGTGCAGGGCAGTGGGATATACATTGGTGATTTCTTCTGGAGTCAGAAAGGATGAGCTGTGTACCCCCTGTTCTGTCCGTGGTGTCAGGTGAAGTTTGCCAGCACTCCAGGCAGATGTGGGCACAGTGGTGGAGTGACTGTAGCACTGATGTCCCATCTGGCCTGCTGCCAAGTGTAGGGACAGTTTCCATCGATGTCATTCCTGCTGCAGGGAGCTCGAGTTGTGCTCAGGAGCAGCCCCAACTCAGAGGGAGCATTAGGGCTCCCTGATCCATTTGCAGTAACTTGTTCCATAACTGTAGCTGTGGTTTTTCTTACCTCCAGAATGGTCTTGGTACTCTGTAACATTTTTGCCTGCAAACCAGAGAGGTTTATGGAGCTCCTTGGGGCACACATCAGAAAAGTTTTCCCCCAGACTCCTTCTGTGACACTTGCCTTTGGAGCTCAGCATTACAGTGGGAGTGAATGAAATTGTTCTGATGCTGTTTATAGCCCACACATCATCAGAATTGTCCAAAGATGCTGTACACCTATGCATAGGGTAGATTTTACTCTTTCTGTGAGTGCAGTTCATCAGAGTTGAGGAACTGAACATACCTGAATTCTTTGCTTTTTCTTGGGGAATACCACTGAGCCTCACTGGATTCTGAGGTTTGCCCTGATCGTTTTCTGTACCAAAAGCAATTTTGGCTTCACTCTTGTGTCTTCTAATGCCACAACAGAGTTGTGTAAGATTGCTACTTGCTTTATTTCATCTCAATTCACTATATATTTATTGTGTGTACAGAATAATTTTTGTCTTTATACCAATTGAAAACTCTTACTCTACTAATTTAGGAAACACAGGGATGCTTTCAAGGAAAGCTTTCACAGTGCTGGCTCTTAGGAATGTTTCCTTATTGCATAAAAGATTAACAGGAATGTTATTTATTGTAGGAATAGCAGGAATGTTATTTATTGTATTTTTCTTGTGCTGAAAAAGTAGAGATGAGGCAGAGGAAAATATTTTGAACATGCAGTAGGGAATTGCTGGAAATTATTTGTCCTGGGAGTTTGGGAAATATTTATCTCATTCCGGCGAATGTTTTAGCTTTAAAATAGCAGGTCCAAATATGTATGGACATCTGTAAACTAAGAAGCAGGTGCACTCACTGGGAGTGAGACACCTGGTTTTGTTCTCATCTCTCAGTGCTGCAGGCAAGTAACTCCTGGCTGGTTCCAAACTGAAGTTACCTAGGGTTCATGAAATGTTTTTTCTTCAGAAGTCAAAGATACGAATCTTCAGTGGTTGGCGCCTCTCAGAAGCACATAGGATATTGCCAAATATTTGTCTTTTCCATTTATGAAATGTCCCCTTTTATGAAAGCCTTGAAATCTGTTTAAGAGAGGGTTATATCGTGATTGATTTCAGCTGGGCTGACCCAACAAAATGTCAGAGCTACTGACACAAAATATTTGCTCTCTTTTCAGGGTGTGTGTGCAGATCAGTGCAAGGTGACAGGCCACCACCGCTACCAGACAGTGGAGCTGAACGAGGGCGTGCTGGGGGAGCTGAGGAAGCTCTTTGAGGCCAAAGCAGAGCACGTGCACCAGACCCTGGCGCTGCACTCGTACACCTCGGTGCTGTCCCGCTTGCAGGTGGAGTCCTACGTTTACAGGCTGCTCAGCAGCTCGTCCCTGCTGAGATCCGTGGCCCTGCAGCAGCAGGAACAAGGTGTGTTTGCTGTGCTCCCAGTCCTGCTCAGGGTGCCAGCACCTTGTGTGTGGATGGAGTTTTGGGCTCTTGTGGTGAAGTTTGTGTACTGTAGTTTCTTCCCCGTTACAAAAAACTGTTAGTCTTCTGTAAGGATCAGTGAAACTTTTTTCTCACAGGAAAATGTCCAATTGTCTTGACTTTATCACCTGGGCAGTAAAAGCTGAATGCAGAAGTTCTGTCTGAGCTGCAGACTGACACTCATTACTGTTCTGAAACACTGTGTGGATGGGACACCTAAATTCTCAATATTTTTTTGTCCAAGGCAATATCTGATACAGTTCTTTTTCCTAATTCTAAAATGAGCTGGATATTTTTCCTGCTTTACTTTCTCTTGGAAGGCCATTTGAAATCTTAAGAGCTTAATATTTAGAACTGTCTTTTTGGTTTTCATCTTGAGTGTTTTGTTTGAGTTTGTGCCAATATAATCTTTTAGCTAAAGTATTTCTCCTCCTCTTGGCCCAGATATTTTTCTTTCTTATTGCTCCTCCGTTTACACTCTACCTCTCAGATAGTTTATGTGCATGGTAAATGGTTCTTAAAAAGCTGATGTTGAGGGAAGGCCTTTTGTGAGAATAACCACAGTATATTCTTCTTATAATTAGTGTCCAGAGCTTAATTACAAGATTAAACAAAGTGCTCTTAAGTATTCTCTTCTGACAGATTTAGTGTTGAAATGTCTTGTTGTCTGCTCTCATACAGAGAGCAGTCTTATGTCCAGCCCCAAACCCATTTTTCATGCTGCTACTTCTTGTCAAAGCTTCATTAATTCTGTTTTTAATTTGCAGTTTCAAAGCAGTCAGAAAATCTCTCTTCAGACCTGAGCCATCTGAAGGAATGTATCAGTGTCCTTTTCAGCTTCACTCGCAGGGTCATTGAAGATCCTCAGTTTCACAGTGACCTTCTCATGTGGCTGCAGAGACTGGTGAGGGAGTAGGCATGGATATATCTGATCCAACACACAGGTTGAATTCAGGAATAATTTCTGGAAGTGTTACTGTTTCGCTTCCTGTCTTGTGGGCAATGTGTTTTTTTGATGGGGTTTGTTCTGTTTGGGGAACAGAATCTCTTAGCAGATCTTTAGAATTGATTCCCTTGTCTGAAAAAATCAAGTAGCATTAGTGAGGATTGGCACTTGAGCAGCCAACACTACTCACAGTGAAGTTAATAATACTCATTGTGCTTTTACTTATTTTGAAATTAGAGCTGTTCAGACTTGCCGTGTTGGAGAAACCTTTGTTCCTGCCAATTTCTAAATGAATTAGATTTTAATGCAGTTGTAGAAAAAATAGTTACTTAACACCAAAAAAATGGTTTGTGGCTCATAAGGCAAGCAAACAGATTTTAAATATTGTTCTCCTGTAACATGCTCTGAAAATGCAGGTTTGTTAGAAAGGGTGAGAAATGAACAATATTACTCTAGTTAGCAAGACTGTGAGGAAATGAACTTCAGGGTTATTTAGCTGATTTCAATGCATTTCCCTGTAGGTGTCTGTGCTGCAGAGAATTGGCTGTCCAGGTGACCATCTCTTCCTCTTCAACCACATCCTTCGGTGTCCAGCTGGCGTCAGCGAGTGGGCTTGTCCATTCATCCAGGTGTGAATGTTTAATTCTTTACTGGCAGCAGGTTGGAGTGGGACTGGCCTGGGTAGGGGAGGAGAGTGTCTTGTGCCTGCTTAATCCCTCATGACTGCCTTTCCAGGTGTGTGCAATCATGGTGGCAGGGAGGGGTTTGTCAGGGAATACGTTTTTCCCTGTTAGGACAACCATGTGCAGGTTGACATGGGAACACACTTCACTCTTGACTGGAGAGATTCCATGAAAGGGAGTCAAGGCCTTATGCACCAGGATTTGGGAGTGTTCTCCAAAAAGTGGAAGGCATACTTAGACTTCAGCTGTGTGTAAAAAGTGAGATTGGAGTCAGCTTTGTGCTGTGTAAGGGATCAGGAGGAACAGATTTTTTTGTATCCTATGCATTGAAGTGGGACTGGTTTCCCTGGAAAATTCAGGGACAAAGGAAAGAGTTCACTTTGTCTAGGTCAGATGGATTGTGGATATCCAAAGGCACCAGGGTGTTTTTCAAAGAACATATTTGCCCTTCTATGAAGAGAAAACATTGGAATCTAGTTACAGGAAAATTTAACTAAAAGGAAAGGCAAACAATGCAGTAGAAGTATAGAATAGAATAAATTAGCTTGGGAAAGACCCTTAATACCATTGAGTCCAATTAACCTAATGTGGTAGGATTTTATCTTCCCCTGTGCTCAGTGTCTGAATTACCCCTGGTGCCCAGACCTACATGTGGCACAAAGAGAGAGGTTGTCTTTTTTTTTTGTGCAGCTTTTGATTTGGGTTTTTCCCCTCCCACCCCTCCTTTAATTTTTCTCAGTAATTCTTTTGGACAAGTCACAATATTTTGCCATGGCAATACTTTGTCCAGGGTGTGGACAGGGTGCTGTCATTTATGGATTCTTCTAAGTCTTAACAAAAAGCTAATGAGAAATGTGAATTTCTCTGCTGAGAATAATTTGCCTTTTGCTTATTTGCATTTACTTAGATTTTTGCATTTAATTTCAGATCAAAGTCTTGGGTAACCCATCGGGTGTCTTTCATTTCATGCAATCTCTTGCCTTGCTTATGTCTCCTGTCAAGTAAGTATGAACATGATTTTATAAATATGTTCTGATTATTTTAGAATAGAAAACACAACATACAATCTACTTGTAAAAGTCTGAAAGTTCATTGCAGGCAAAGTCATAAAAGTGGGCGCAAATAGATTCACAGTTTAAATCAAGGTCTTTTTACTCATTCATCTTAAAATTCAGCCTTGGCAGTACCTCCTTTTGCTGTACACAGTATGATGCAGCTTTCTTTCAGCTGTGAAATAGCTGTGAAGACTGACAAACCCACACATTTTGTTACTGTGGCTTCTGAAATATCTCTTGCTTTGCTGAGAACTGAAAAAACTGTGCCCTGTTTTTTATACTGTCTCCTCTTTTTACACTCTCTGCTGCAATAGAATCCCCCGACTAAAGGTGTTGAGATGGTGTACACACTGATTGGGCATCTTGATATATTTTTCATCCTTTAAAAAAAAATTAAAAAAAAAATCTAGTAGGAATGTGGTGCTTGGAGAAGGTAGTTAATGAAATCACTCACAAGTGAAAGCAATTATGTTCTCCAGATAAATTACATAACTTGCCTCTTCCTCTGCCCGGATTTTGAGGTCAAAGAATCAAACTGTGGGTGTTTAGGGTTGTCACTGTGCTCTTGATAGATTGGGTCTGGGTTAAGTGGGAGTCTTGTTATTGAAAGTTATTATTTTAAAGGGTTTTATTGTTACATTTAATTTCTAGAACTGCCTGGGAAAACCAGTGTATCTTGAGGGAATGTGTGTTGCCAGTGTGTTTTGACGCTTGTGTTTGGAACAAGCGCCAACTTAATGTGCCTGGGGTGCTGCTCTAAATGCTGATACCAGAAACTCAGAGCCTCCACAGGGTCTGCTCTTACTGGTAAAAGAGCTGAGGCTTATCTGTTACAGCTCCTGCATGTCAGGAACCAGGTTATCCTAGAGTCATTTACAATCACAGGATTGTTTAGGCTGGAAAACACCTTTAAGGTTGTTGAGTCCAGCCCTTAACCCAGAACCACTGTGTCCACTGCTGAGCCATGTGTCCTCTGGTGCCACATCCACAAACCTTCTGAACACTTCCAGAGATGTTGACTCCTCCACTGCCCCAAACAAGCTGTTGCAGTGCCTGAACAAGTTTCCATGAAAAAAATTTTCCCTAATATCTAATCCAAACCTCCTCTAGTGCGACTTGAGGCTGTTTATGCTCCTGTCATTTGTAACTTGGGAGCAGAGTTTGACTCCCCCACAGCTGTCCCCAGGGAACACTGCACTCCTGTCAGGAGCTGTGCAGAGCCACAAGGGCCCCCTGAGCCTCCTTTGCTCCAGGCTCAGCCCCTTCCCAGCTCCCTCAGCCTCTCCTGGGGCTCCAGCCCCTTCCCAGCTCCGTTCCCTGCCCTGGACACACTCCAGCCCCTCGGTGTCTCTCTTGTGCTGAGGGCCCAGAGCTGTCCCCAGCACTGGAGCTGCCTCAGCAGTGCCGGCACAGGGACAGGCCCTGCCCTGGGGCTGTGTCACAGCCTGGCTGGGACAGCCCAGGGCCCATTGGCCTCCTACCCCCCTGGGCACCCTGGGCCCATGTCCACCTGGCACCAGCACCCCCAGGGCCTTCTCTGCATAGGCATTTTTCTGCTTTAGTTGCTAAATTCTTCCTCTTGCATCTGGATTTTTAATGTCTTCCTTTAACTGAAAGGTTATTAAATTCAGAATTTTTAGTTTTCTAATTTTTTACCCTTGATTTTTCGCTTTAAACCAGAAATCGTGTGGATTTCATGTGCCATATGAAACCAAGTGAAAGGAAAAGTTCCTCTTCTTCTGGGAAGGAATCTGGGAACTGGACTCTGGTAGATGAAGGAGGAGAAGAGGTACAGAAGATGACTTCTTTTGCTTCTCTTTGTTTTGTCCTTTATGCTTTTGTTCAAGCTTTATCTTTGTGAAATGAGTGAAGAAAATCTGACTTGTTAAGTTAAAAAGCATGATTTGAATTTGCTTCTATTTTAGTCTCATTTATCTCTGTGGTATAACTAGAGTGGAGCTTCCAGTAATGCGTATTAGCAGAGAGAATTCAAATATTTCAGTTGCTCCTATCAAAACTATAAATTAGTACAATAGTGAAGCCCTTTACTACTGGTTTTACCGTAGAGATACTGAAAATACCTGTATTTATCTATAGGATGAGGATCCTGAAACAAGCTGGATTCTGCTCTTGGAAGATGACTTGATTGCTCTGTTGTCACAGTTCCCATTTCATGAACTCTTTCAGCAGTTCCTCGGGTTTACATCTGAAGGTAAATCACTTGCCAGAGAGTTATTCTTCATTTTGCTTATGCTAATTATATTAATGACTGCCACTGCCAAGAGTGCTACTGTACTGTGAAGCTCTCTGAGAAAAATAATAATGAACCTGTGCAGCAGCTCGCAGGCTATAGAGATGAGCTAGAAGTATATGCCATGTGTATGGGATAAATAAAAACCTCATTGCAATATGCAAAACTTTGGAGTCTTTTCCCTTAGTTTGCGTTTGGATGTCAGTTAACTCCCAAAAGTGCTTTCAGAGCTATTTTCCCCCCTCACCTCTTAGCTGTAATTGCTTACCAGAGGTCTTATTACCTGCATAGTTTATTTGCACTTTCATACTTAGCAGGTATTTATTGTTCATTTCATAAACAAAGCATAAATTTTCCAGTTCACAATATGGTGAATTGTTGATTTGAGTGCTTGTTAAGTTACTTAAAAATCCAAAATTCACTTATTTTTTTGGCACTTATTTTGTGTCTCTGTCTTAGGTGCTTATTTTCCTGAAAAAACATCTCCCCAGAAGATGATGAAGATTTTTGCCTTTGCAAACTCCTTAGTGGAACTTTTGTCTGTGGGACTGGAAACGTTTAACAGAGCACGGTACCGGCAGTTTGTGAAGAGAATTGGTCAGCTCATCAAGTAAGAGATTTTTTTTCTCTGTGGAGTGATTTAGTCCATTTTATACGTACATTAGATATTCAGAGCTGCTGAAAAATCCCCAGAACCAACCATAAAACAAACAAATAAGCCCCACACAAATGGTTCTCCGGTAGGTTTTGCTCTGACATTTGGTCAGTTCAGCATTAGCCAGTCTGGGAATCTGAAATGGGGAATTGCAAAATCTAAATGCTTTGGGTACAGAGGAGCCAGGTAAGCTGTGGGACATGAGGCTGATATATCAGTGATGTTGTTAGGCTTGTATTGTATACTCAATGAATCCCAACAAACAGGAATTCCTTCAATTTCTCCTATCTATAACCAATGTTACTGCTTTATTTCCTTTGTTACTTAGAATTGTTTTGGGGTTTTTAATTTTCTCCCTGCAAATTGTCCTAATGTTGCAGTAATGTATTTGAAGCCTAAATGCTGCTCTTTATTTTTAAATCTCTAGCATTTACTCTAAATGGCTTCTATGAGTGTATTCTCAAGGGAGAGTACAGTCAAATCAGAAACAAAATCCATCTTTTTCTTTGTGTTATGGAGGCAGTAGCTTTCTCAGTGTAATTATTCCCATATGAACTTTCTGCCATTTCATTGTGTACAGTTACCTTAAGGCTCCAAAGGTCACACAGAACAGAATATTGTGCCTTGTGAGCTTGCAAAACCAAGGAAAGAGAACACAGAAATTTGACTGGTACAATTTATATAGAAAGCTTCGGGACCCAGAAGGCAAAATGTTGGACATGTCTCTTGTGACTAGACTCTAATCTGGTTGCCCTTGCCTGTGTTTTCCTGTGATGGTGACATACTTAATGATCTTACATTGTCTTGTTTGCTCTGCTGTGTAGGATGACACTGTGTCATGTGAGTGACCACTGGGCCCAGTATGTTAGTGGCAATAAACAATATGGATCAGTAGAACACCCCTACTCTGTGGAAAAATTGCAGCTGGAGTTTGATGAGCTGTTTTTTAGAGCTGTTCTACATGTTCTGAAGGCAAAAAGGTGGGTAATCTCTTCCCTGGCTTAGTTTTGGAGGAGTTGAATACTTGAAACTGGGATTTGGAGTAGCTTTAAATACTTAATGGTTTAAACAAGACTGAAATAAGTAGGATTTTTCGGTGTATTGGTAGCATCAAGGTGGGGAGGAAGTAGTCCATGAATTGTAGCACCTGACAGAAACTCTGAAATCTTGGTCAGTTCACAGTGAGGTTGGCTCAGAATCTGAGGTGCCAATACACATCCTCACATTCCTAATTCTGTTACATAGCAGAGGTGTGGACCAGAGATGTCTCCTTTCCAAATGCTGGGATTTGTCAGGGTGGAACTGTTCCTGAGTGCCTCTTCAAATCCCACAGGTTGGGAGTCTGGCTGTTCATGTCTGAGATGCCTTATGGAACCTTGTCCAGCAGCATGCTTTGGAGGCTCTTCTTTGTCATGCACTGCGCTGAGAATGAGCACCTGGAGCAGCTCTGCTCTACTCTTCAACCTGCTGACTACAAGCAGAGACTCAAAGGTAAAATTCCCCCACACAGAACCAATTCTAATCCATTCAGCTGCTGCTGCATCACCTGTGGGTTTAACTCTTTGCAGCTGCATTGTTAAATGCACCCTTGGCAGCATGAGTGATCTGGTGGCTGCTGAAATGTTTTGGGCAGTTCATAGTTTTCCAGTACCTGTTTGCCCAAATTGTCATTTAACAGCAACTGATAGATTTCCTGTCCTGGTTTTCTCTGTGGCTGCCTCAGAGCTGCAGGAGTGACATGCAGGAGGTACCTCTTGTGTATTTTTGTATGACTTCCCATCTTGACCTTCAACAGTATTTGGAGAGTGAGGCTTAAATCCTAAAGTACAGACTTCTGTATCACTTAGGGTTGGTGTGGCAATTTTTTAAATTTGTTGGGGGTTTTTTTGGGTTTTTTTTGGTGACTGACTGTTGAGCTGCTGATAGTTTTAGAGTCCTCCTTTTTTGCTAATTTTCACTTTAGTAACTCACATTGTGGGAGACTTTTTATCATCCTCACCTATATTTCCTTTATCTCAAGCCTTCTTTTCATGCATTTCTTGTCCTCATCGCACACTTTATTTTTATTTCCTCTTGACTTTTGTCCCATGTTGATCTGCACAGTGAACGTGGTGTCTTCAGCCATAGCAGAACTATTTAGAGGCCAGCTGGAATGCTAGTTTCCCTCTGCTGCTGCATTTGTGGATAATATTTCAGGACTTGATTGACAGGGGGCCAGGTAAACAAACAGTTTACTGCTCCCTGCTTTACAGCTTCTTTGCTGTCTTCAGGGAGAGCAGATCTCATTTTTGTCAGTTTTACTTCTCAGCTGGCTGGTATCCCAGGTAGCTGTTACCCCATGTACCCAGTCTTGGTGGAGAAGCGGGAGAAAATGGTGATTCTGAGAGGTTACTGAGTATCTTGACTCTGTGCAATCTCAGGTAACATTTAAGGCAATTTACACGGAAAGGGAGAGAGATACCAAGATTGTAGTTGTGTGCACTTGATGAGGGGCTGATCTGATAAGCACTTGCCAGCCAAAACAGTAACTGTTACACTGTGTCAGTAGAACATCTTTATTTTTAGTTTTGCTAGAAAATTTTTACTGCATCTATTATGGGTTGCAGTAACAAACACAGATTTTTTTTTTTAAATATAATTATCTTTTTCAGGCATTCTTTTGCTTCTAGCTAACTTTTATGTTTCAAAGTCCCTGGTATGCTGATTCAGGATTTCTTTATCCTCTTCATTCTCCTCAGTGAGTTCTGTCAGCATAATACTGTTTTTTCACCAGTGTCTAGACCTAGACAGGGAATATCAACAGTTCTTCCAGTGAAATCCATCTAATCTTCTGAAATATTTTCTTTCAACGAACACTTAACAAATTAAAGCTTAATTTCCTGTAATTTGTACCCTGGAAGATCATGACATTAACATTCTCTTGGTTTTTTAGTATTTCCTCTCCTGAATTAAGCCTGAGAAAAGGGTGGTGAATCTGCAGGTGGAAGCAAACCTTTGTAATTGATGGAATCTTAGGGCATCAAGTCCATAGGGGTTGGGAGTAATGCATTTTTGGGATTACCTAAAAACAGAGGCCAGACAAAATTAAGGGCATAAAAAGCAGTTATATTTTTATTGAAGGACCTTTAAGTACATTTTGGGCAGACAGTGCCACCCCAGGGGCTGCACTCTATATATGGACAATGGGTCATGGGTTTTCGTATTTTTGTAAGTTCAGTCCATTTGCATGTTGGGGATTAATGTTCCAATTGCAGCTTCAGGTAATGAAGGCATTTACAAGTTTGCTCTCCCCCAATTCACTTTTGTTTACTTTTCAGGGTCTGAGGCAGGAAGGTTGATTCCCATAATCCCTTGATTCCCAGGCCTAGAGAGGAATTGTTTTGTCTGATGGAAATGGGAAAGCAGTAGCTAACACTCCATATGGAGTTTAGGGTTATACACTAAAGAATTGCAGGATTACAAATATATGAAAAATAGAAAAGCTAAAATCCTAAAGGCATCAGGAGCATTGTTGCTATTCTAGTGAGTGGCATCCCTGCCCATGGCAGGGATTTTAATCTAGGTAATATTTAATATCCCTTTAATCCAAGGGTACTATGATTTTATTTGTCATCACAGTTTCCTTGCTGCCAGTAACAGGGTTGGAGGAGTTTGATTTTTAGGGCATCATGAACTTGAGTTGTAGTGTGATTAGAGGAAAGGAATGGGGTCAGGTACCAAGTGGATGGTGAAGATGTTACTTCTCCACTATGAGAGGACAAGATTTAGGGGGAGTCTCTCTGTTTCCCTTAGATCTTGTCCCCGTTTTCAGTCCCTTGCTATGGCTTGGTGTGGGTTTGAGGTCAGTGTGGAGCCCACAGCTCACCCCTTCTCACTGTCACCCTGCTGTGCCTTTAACTACATTAATGATGTGGTCTTTTTTAATGTCCTTCTGCATCATGTTAGAAAAAACAGAAAGCAAACCCTGAACTACAAGGGGAAACAGGGAAACAGAGTTGTGTGTAACTTCTGCATTAAGGATAAAAAATAGCATTAGGAAATGGAGGTGAGTGGATGAGGCACCCCCTGTTTGCCTGCTCTATCTATCAGCAGTGTGGTTTCTCCTACTGTTTGGAAGAAACTGTTTTCTGAAATTGCACAATCCTCTAGCATGCTGTTCCATGAGCTGTTTTGCCTGTACAGGCCTGACCTTCTCAGGTTGGAGTACAGTTGCAAAATTCTTGAAAGCCCTTAAAATAGAATGTAACCTAAGTGCAAGTGTTTGATCACAAGCACGCTGAGCACGTGCGTGTCCAGGTTAGGGAGCTCTGTGCACAATGGATGCTTTTTCTGTGTGTTCAGCTGCTATGACAAAATCACTGTGAGCAGTGTTTGTTGGTTTGTTGTGGGTCAGAGAAGGCATTTCACTCTGCAAAACTTTTTGCAGCTCAAATGCTGCTTCCAGTGCTTGTTTTGCTGCACAGACTCTATTTCAAGTTGTTTGGAAGAAACAAAAAAACCCAAAACATTTTAAAACCCTGTACAGGTTCCTTTGTATCATTGCCGTCTTGTTGTCCCACATCCTGAGGAATGGAATGTTTATTTGCTTTTAGCAATATCTCTTTTGGGTTTAAAGAGGAAACTTGCTTTGAATTTGAGTGAAAATATATCTCAGCCTTCCTGCTTGTGCAGGTTCAGTTCTCTGTTTTCAGAGATGGATTCCAAACAAGTGCATCCAGTGTTTTTTCTTGTATTGTATTTGGGAAGCTCAGACTGGCCTTTCTTTGTAGCTCTTGGGTATAATCAAGACCTGGGGCTACATACTTGCAGAATTTTTATTTGTAATTAGCATGGAATGATCTCAACAGATCACTTCTCTGGGATTTTGAGTGAATAACTATGTAAATGTTGCTGATGTGTGCCCTGCTGCAATTTTACCATGTTTCTTTCACTTGACTTTTTTTTTTTCCTAGATCCAGAGCACCTTGCACAGTTTGAAAAGTATCTCCAGTCAATGAACTGCTCAGAAGAAATTTGTCTGCTCACCACATTTGCTCAGATGGCACAAACCAAACGGGCTGATGTTGATGAGGATTTTATCAAAATCGTTGTTTTGGAGATATATGAGGTGAGTAACGTTACTGGACCATTCAGGAAAAGAATGAAAATGCTCTTTTTATTTGTAACAGTGGAAGGTGTGAAGCTTTCGTGGCCTCTGTAGTTTGTTCTTCCATGGAATTAAAAAAGTGCTGCTTTTTAAAAAAGCCGTGAATTAAAATTGCCTGAAGTACTTGTTTTTTTCTGGGAAAAAGAACAACTTTTCTGTAAGCGAAGCCAGAATGAAACAAATAAATAAAAATACATTTATTTTGTTTCATTTTTCTCATGCAGGCCTAACTTGTAGCTTTGGAATTCCTTATGTGGTGTTTTTTCCATTGGTTTTGGTGGGATTATTTTTAGTGCCTGTGGCTGTGTTGTTCTCCTGTTTAGTTTTGGACATTATGTGGCAGTGTGACACAGAACTTTCCTGGTCTTTTAGGGCAATCAGTTTCACTTTCCATATGGGCATTTATCAACTTTGTCTGCCATGCCCAAGGAGCAATTTGTTTTCCAAAAGACATTTTATTTCCATGTTAGTGGAGGTCAGCCAGAAGCAATAACTTCTCCCTGCTCATCTTCCCAGGTGTCCTATGTTAGTCTTTCCACAAGGGAGACGTTCTCCAAGGTTGGTCGGGAACTCTTGGGAGCCATTGCCAGCATCCACACACAGATCATTTCTGTGCTGCTGGATCGGATTAGAGAGACCATTGAGAAGGTGGGGATGGTAAGTGCTGATGTCTATAATTTAAATAATCTAAATCAGACACCCAGTTAAACCTAGAGGCCATACCAGGTTGTTATGAACGGATGTGTTAAAGAGCTCTCTGGGGTTTTTGGTCATACCTCCCTTTGAGATAGCTGATTACTGTTGTGTGCTGAGTACTAATTTGCACTTTTTGCTCTCTTTCCTCAAAGGTTTCTTTATATCTGTTTAAAGAGCTGCCCCTGTACCTGTGGAAGCCTTCTTCATCCGAGATAGCCCTGATCCGTGACTGGTTGTTAAACTACAGCCTGACAGCAGTGGAGAATAAACTGGCTTGCATTATCTTGGAAGGGCTGAACTGGGGCCTTGGTGAGCATGTAGGTATTGAGAAAGGAGCCTTGAACCTTCTCACCTTTTCAGAGCAAAAGTTTAACTCAACTGGGGAGTAGAGCAGAATTTGAAAGCAGTTAATTGCATGCTTTTTACATTATGTCTGTACACCTAATGGCACAAAATGGGAATGTCATAATCATTTTACAACACTGAAGTCTGAAGATTTGCTTGTGCTGCTTTCTTATAGTGCTGCAGCTGAGTTTGAAAGAGATATTTAAGCAGGGATTTTTTCCCTCTCTAAAGGGGGAAATAGCTGACAGGACAATTTTTTATGAATCACATGATTAAAATGCTTTTAGCATTTTAAAAAGCAATGCTTTTTAAAAGCAAATGCTTTTAGCAGAAATAGAGGAATCTTCCAAAAATGTTGAGGAAACTGGTGTGACTGTAGTTTGCATCTAGTTGGTATCTAGGCATGTTTTTCACTGTGCAAGAAAAATAATGATTGAAATGAGACATTTCAAAACTCTGAGCATCATTTAAATGATGGGGAAATATTCCATAATATTGGGTTGCTCCAAGAGCTTTGTGAGTTCAGGGTATAATTGAGAGTGAATGCTATTTCAGAGAAAAACAGAAATAGATTGGGGGAATAATGTTGCCTGTGTTCAGTGATTTAGTTCAGCATTGCATTCTGTGCATTTGGTCATGCTGAACTCTTCTCTTTGCCTTGTTGATGGTTGTACATGACTATGGACTCACTTTTTTCTCCCTCTTTTTTGTAGACATGTAAATAAAAATGAATGTTAGGGAAAATTACCAGAATTCTTTGCTGTGCAATAGCAGTGCCATTTCTGTACCCTTTGATGTGGGGAAAAATGACTCTTTAATGTGGCAATTGATAGAGGAATTGCTGTGTTTTCATACAAAAAACGTGGTGATGGGATTTGGTTTTGTTTTTAAAGGCAACAGTTCAAGTATCTGTATTATCTGATTTAAAATGGCATATATGGATTTTTGGATTAGTTATCATATGTTCATAAAATGCATGTGGAAAGTGAATGTTATGATGCCTTTTAAAAAAATAATCTAGTTCTTGGGCTTTGTATTGCTCAGTGTGAGCCTGGTACTCTTTAACATTGAGCTGAATTTTTTCACTGGGGAAAATTTTTGCCTTGATATTGCAATAATTAATTTGAACAGCCAGAAAATTTATTTCTCTGTGATGCACCTGTGTGTAAAGCTGTAGAGACCTCTTAAATGACCCAAGGTTTTGTGTTCTGACACTGTTTTTAGCAGAATACTCTTCACCTGGATCCTGCTGTCCATTCTGAAGTTGCATTGATGGTCCTGGAAGCGTATCAGAAATATCTCTCCCAAAAACCATATGCTGGGCTGCTTTCTGAAAGCATAAAACAGGTATCCTTTCTTCTTACTTACCAGGAGTAACTTATGGATGGCTGTAAATGGGAAAAGCTGCAGGGCAAGACCTTGTTTTCACTTTTTTAATCCTTCTTTTAAAAGTTGTTCTTTATCCAACTGCAATTTTGTAACATGCCAACACTCAGTGTAGTCTGCCCCCGCAGAGCTGTTTGAAAATTCTGTTAGGCTTCTGTTGAGCATCAGTGTGAGAATCACAGAATCATAGAATGGTTTGGGTATAAAGGGACCTTAAAGCTCATCCAGTGCCACCCCTGCCATGGGCAGGGACACCTCCCACTGTCCCAGGGTGCTCCCAGCCCCATCCAGCCTGGCCTGGGACACTGCCAGTGATCCAGGGGCAGCCACAGCTGCTCTGGGCACCCTGGGCCAGGGCCTGCCCACCCTCCCAGGAAAGAAATTCTTCCTAAGTATCAGATATGAATCTGCTCTCTCAGTTTGAAGCCATTCCCACTTGTCCTGTCACTCCATGCTCTTGTCTCTCTCCATCTTTCTTGAAATGGACATTTTAATTTTGACCCACTTGCACGTTTGTGAATAGTCGCAAACTGCTCCTGCTTTACCCATGCAGAGATAGACAGTACTTACTATAAAATAGAAAGGCTGTTTCTCATTACTGCTGAGCATAAGAGAACTCACTCCAGCTCTTATCTTATTTGAAGACTCAAGTGTTAATCCCTTTTGAAGCTTTTCAGCAGTGGGCAATGTTATGTGACCTGAACACACCACAGACATTTATTAAATTGATTTTACAGCACACTGGATTCAGGAGGGTATAGCTCCAAGTTACAGAGTGCAAATGGAAGCATAAAAAGATCAAAGTTAAAAAATCTCTGTGTTGGATATTCAGTCCAAGAGGTTTTTGGATGGGCTTTGTCTTCTCAGTATTTTTTGTACAGTGTTTTCTCCTCCTCTGTATTTTTCTCCCCAGCCTTTTCTTCCCACACTCCAAATGTTCTTTGTTGTCTCTGCTCTGTTCTGACTTGCTCCTTTGCACTTAGCCATGGTTTGTTGTCTTGTGCCAGCCAGATGAGTTCTCTTTTTTAAGCCAGTGTCAGCCCTAGTTGCCACTTGTGCTGGTGAATCTGTCCTGACTTGCATGAGCCCATAACTAGAATCTGAGAGAAAATAGTGCTTTCTTGTACCCTACTCAGAGAGGATGTAATATCTGCATTGCCCTCCAGCTCTGCTGTTTACACTGCTCTGTCAGAACATGTACATATTTTTTTCTCCAGAGATTTATAATTCCTTGTGATCTAGACATGGTCTTTGTGACAGTGGGCTCATACACATGTGACTCTGCCTGTCCATATACAGGCTGTTTTCTAAGGAAAGCCTGCCAGGTTTTAGGTTTTTTGTTGACAGATAATACTTTTGCATAGATTTTTCTGTTTCCTTAGCAGTCTTAGATGTTTTAAATATTATTAAAGGTTGTGCCTGGTTTTTTTTTTTCAGTATTAAAATTAAAATTTAATTCAAGGTCAGTATATAGCTTGGAAAAATTTAAGCAGACAGTGTAAGTTGATAGACTTTACTTAAAGGGATGGGGGAAGGAGAGGGAAGTAGAAATTGAGGCTATGGGGACTGTTTAGATAAACTACATGGTATGTCTAGTAATTGCTGTTGGTCTACTGCTAGGAGGTTTGGGTTGGAAGGGACCCCAAAGATCACCCAGTTCCCCCTGCAAGGACCAAATCCCAGTCCAGTGCCACACGTGCCGTGTCACGGCTGCGCTTCCTCTCATTGCTGCTGCTCTGTTCCAGGTCTCCTACCTGGCCAGCATTGTTCGCTACGGGGAAACCCCAGAGACCTCCTTCAATCAGTGGGCCTGGAGTTTGGTCCTGAGGCTGAAGCTGCACAGGAACGACCGTGGGGTGCAGCAGAGCGGGCTGGCCGCTGTCCCCGTGTGCGACACCGCGCTGGACGCGGCCGAGTCGGTCACGCTGCACCCCCTGCTCAAGGCTGTCAAGGCAAACGTCCCCATCGGCTGCTACCTGGCACTGGCAATGACCACCCTGGGACACAGGTGAGGCTTTTGGGGTGTTTGCCTCGGGTGGGTGGCCCCAGGGACTGAGCAGCATCCCTAGTTAACAGCTTTGTGCCTGTTTAAAGAGTAAAGGGCTTGTGATGCAAGGCATCGAGCAGCTTGTCGTCTCTGTTAGGAGGAGCTGAGCCTGGGCAGTCTGGAGAAGACCAAAAGGGGGTCTCATTAATGCAGACAGACATCTCAAAGGCAGGTGTCCAGAGGATGGTGCTGGACTCTTTTCAGCAAGCAATAGCCACAACTAAAACACAAGCAGTTTCATTCAACATGGGGAGGAACTTATATATGCTGAGGATAGCAGAGCCCTGAGCATCTGCCCACCAAAACAATTACAAATACTAAAAATATTTAGCAGCTGCCCATGGAATTTGGATTCTCCCTCTATGGAGACATTTCAAACCCACCTGGACTCATTCCTCTGTCTCCTGTACTGGGTGACCCTGCCTTGGAGGGTTTTGGCCTGGATAATCTCAAGGTGTTTTCCAGCCCCAGCTTTCTGTGATTGTAGTTTCACAGAATCCCAGAATCATTTAGGTTGGGAAAGAGCTCCAAGGTCATCAAGTCCAACCTGTGACCAATTCCCACCTTGTCACCCAACCCAGAGCACTGAGTGCCACGTCATTCGTTGGACACCTCCAGGGCTCCCTGGACAGCCACTTCCAGTGCTTAATAATCCCTTTTCTTGTGAAGAAATTTTTCTTGAATTCCTTCAAACAACCTGCTATTTCCTTTATTTTGCTAATAGTACTTTTTCTGCCTACTGCACTTTAGGGTTCAGTCATAAGAAATAGTACTGAAACTGGGGCTTAACAGTAATTTCTCTGGACAGGAGTATGATTGAGCCACACTTACTGGAAGGGTTGTTGTAGAGATAATTGCATTTATCAGGGCAACACTGCATTCAGAAAATAGTGAGGAGAAAAAGCCCACTCACTCTGGGAATGGTGAATAAAAAGCATTATAAGAGCAGTGAACCTCTTAGTCCTGACTGTGTTCCCACAGAGTCTTTTCCAATGCTTTTAGCTGGTTTGTAAGCTGGTAAGGCTTTTGGATGTAATCAGATGTTCCTGTCTGACATACTGAGTCACACAGAATTTGATCAGTTCTCACCAGAACTCTTTTCCCTGAGTCTGTGATCCCTTTGGTTATGTGCTGTGCTATTCAATATTTCCACTAACTTTTTTTTAATGTATAATATTACGTTACTCTTTTAAGGAAAAATTATCTGGCCTTTCTTCTCCTTCCCCAAGGAAGGAGAAGAATCATTGCTTCATAATCTTATAATTGCTTCACGATAAGATTATGCCACAGATACTTTAAAGCGCTGGAATAGTCTGAGATTGATATTAAGGTATTTTGGGTTGAGAGTGGAAATTATCCCAGAACTTTGACCATGAAATAAAAAACCAAAGAACCTCTTTAGTCTGTTTCCCTGCACCTTCTCTGTTTGGCCTTTGACTCTTTTCCCTGGAGAGGGGGGTGAATTGTCCAAGTTAGGCAAGAATAGTGAGTTTAAAGAGATAAAAACTTGATGAAGACTTGCATCTCTAGTGATTTTTGGAAGGTGGAACACTGATCCCCAGAAAGGGATTTGTGAAGGAAGGAGATACTTAGTAAATATTTGAGAAGGAAATACTTGGCAAATCTGTCAGCTATTGAATGACACCTATAGCTGAAGAAAAGAACTCTGTATTTAGCTATTTATATTTTCAAAGATAAAGTGTAAAGTTCTGAATATATTTACATCTCAGTTAATAAAAACTAAATCAACACCTTGTCTTCCTTTCTGCTGATAGTGAATGTGTTTTTCTTAACTTTTTTGGTTTGTTTTCTGACAGCATTGAGAAATTCTGTGCTGAAGGAATCCCTCTTTTGGGTGTACTGGTCCAGTCTAGACATCTGAGAACAGTAGTCCATGTGCTGGATAAAATTTTACCCTTGTTTTATTCTTGCCAGTATTACCTCCTGAAGAATGAACAGTAAGCATTATATGTTCATAATATGTTAATTTTTAAATTTTATCATTTGTTTACCTAATTTATTTATAAAAAGGAAAGGAAAGGAAAAGGAAAAGTTAATAATAATCTTCTGGTTTAGATGCCTGACAGTCTCCCAGACAAATCCTGAGTAAGATTTGGCTGTTGATGTAGATCAAGAACTGGTATTTATTTCTGATGAGCTGCCTTGAATTACAGGCTGGTGTGAAATGTTCATACTGTGCCCAGTGTATGGCTGAACTGGGGCAATTAAATCTGCATTGTGATTGTGAATCAAAGCCTTTCTGTATGTGTCTCACTGATGATGTTGAACTGATTTTCAATTCTCTAGATGTAGGCTTTCTATTTAATATGGAGTAAGAGGTGTTTTAATTTCATTTGTTGACATCCCTAGGTTTTTATCTTATGTGGAACTGTTCCTTCATCTGGACAGTGGAGTGCCTCAAGGGGTGACCCAGCAGGTTACCCACAAAGTGACACAGCACTTGACAGGAGTGAACTATGGAGAAAATGTTAAGCTGCTCAGTAGTATGATACAGGTAAGAAGATTATTTAAAAAAGAGAGGGGGGAAGAGAGTGTTTAAAACCAAGCTGATTTGGCTGAGTTAGTGTTAAAGGTTAGAGAGGATACTGAACCTAGCAGTTCAGTCACAGAGTACCCTGTATCAAGCATTGGTTGGGTTTGGTTTCTTGAAATGCTCCTGCTTAAACTTGCCTAAATCTGGCAATGCATGTGACACTAACAACAATATTTACCTTTCAGACTTCTTGGAAAATTCATTTTCCCATACCAGGTCAAAGCTGTTCAAAAAAGGAAATGTAAAATGCAGCACTCCTTTCTTGTCTGTGTTATTTGAGGAATGCAGCAGGGATATTAATGTCTGCAAGTTCTGCCTTTTACCATTAATTTAGGCCCCTGGAAAGGAAAACTGTTCTTGAGTTAGGGAGCAGTAGTGTTTTCTTAAATGCAGAGAGGTCAAAACCTTCTAACATTAGAGAGGGATAGTGGAAACAGACCTGCTCTGGGAAGGCCCTTTGCAGGAACAGCAGCTTGGACTTTGGAAATAGGTGCTGTTTATGCCTGCGGGTGTCCTGCTTAAGGCTTCTGTGTCTGTTTTTGCTGAATGCACAAGATCCTCTGCTCTCCAGGCTTCAGAATCTGCAGAAGTTTGGAGGCTGAAGATGACAAAGCTGTCCTTACTTGGGTGTAGAGAGTGTTGTTGTAAATTATTTTAATTTCAGGATTGCTTTACAGCCCCAAGCAAATCAAACAATCCTCAGTAATTCTAAAGCTTTACTCAAAGCTGCAATGTGTTGACCAGTTTTCCCCTTTGATTTGTCAGAGTCACATTTTCCTGAGTGACCATCCGAATGGCGTGGGGCCAGCTGCAGTCCTGGAGTTCTGGGTGCAGGTGCTCACCAGCCAGCAGCTGTGGCACAGGGACAGGGCCACGCTCTGCCTGCTGGATGACTTGTGCAAAGCTGCCTTCCAGTACAGCCAGGAGGACTGTGTGCAAAAGCTGCTTTACCAGCAGCACAAGGTAAATAGAGAGCTCTGGTGTTTTGCTGTGGCTCTTGGGGAAATGGTCAGCTCATCTGTTGCACAGTCGGATTTTGATGGGAATGAATTTTCCTGAAGTGCAGCTGTGAAGTCCTGGGGTGGTTTGGCTTGGGAGGGACCTTTACAGCCCACCCAGTTCCACTGTCCAGGGACACCTTCCACTATCCCAGGTTGCTCCAAGCCCTGTCCAAACTGTTTTTCAGCACTTCCAGGGATGAGGCAGCCACAACTTCTCTCAACAGCCAGTCATGATGATGAGTGATACATGGAGTCATCTGATTTTTTTCTGAGTTGCTCAAGAAATTTTTTTTCTTGAGTGGGTCAAGATTAATGAAATGTCTGATACTTTAATAATAATGATAATAATTACTACTAAAACCAGTTGGAACACAGTATTAATTTCATATGACTTCTATTGTTGTTTGTCTTCTTTGCATTTCAAATCTTTGATGGAGTGTTTAGGACAAAAATGGAGCTCCCTCTCCTGAAAAAGCCAGACACAGTTAGTGCAACAGGATTTTTTCACTGAAATAGGAAGTCCAAGCAGGCATTTCAGTGGTGCCTGGCTGAGCTGAGGTTGGAAAGTAGCAACAGGAGGTAGAAAGAAACCTGGATAAAGATTGAGTGATCCACTTGTAGCTTCTAAATCACCTGGTCATGAAAAAACCCCAGATGTTTTCTGTTTCTGTGCAGAATGCTTTGGGCTATCACTGTGACAAGGGAATGCTGTCTTCACTGGTCAGCTGGATCGTGGCAGGCAATGTCACACCATCCTTTGTGGAGAGCAGTGCAAACTCCTCTCAGGTGAGCCATGATGGTGTTTTGTGACGGAAAAGCAGCATACTGGTCTAGGGTTTGTTGTGGGGTGGTTGTTTGGTTTTTTTTGTCTGGTTTTTTTTGCTTTTTGGGGGTTTTTTTGGTGGGTTTTTTGGTGGTTTTTGTTTTGGTTTTGTTTTGGGTTTTTTTGTGGGTGTGGTTTCTTTTTCCTGTTTGGGTTTTTGTTTTGGTTTTTTTTCTGTTTTCTCTCTTGGTCACTTTTTCTTCCTGCCCCAGAGTTTTCTTGTGATAAAACCCGAGTTTAGCCTAAGAGAATGCTGTGGGTTTATACTAAAAGGAACATGGATATTTTGCACATGGAGAGTTGGTCTAATCTGCATCCAAGAATTCATATAATAGGATTTATTAGTTAAATTTTCTTCTAATCTACTATTGTACTTTATCTGTTTAACAAGACTGTAAAGCCTGACTTTTCTTTCAGGTCAGTCTTTATCTGATAATTATTTTGAATTCAATTTACTTTCTCTCTGCTTAAGTGAGCTCCTTATTCAAGCAAAAAGGAGGAAAAAACCTCTAAGTACCTGAGACAGAGATGTGTAGTGCTGGTGGAAGAGGGGAGATCTTATTTTCCTGAGTTTGACAAGGTTGTTTCCTCCAGAGTTCCCTGGGTGATTCTTACAGTTTTGTCTGCTTTTTCCCTTCTTTCCCAAAATTGTACAAAGGGGAAGTTAGAATTTAGGGATGAAGAAGTTTTGTTGTTGAGATGTGATAGTGCCTTTTGCAACTCTGCCATGAGATTCCATCAAACACTTAGTCCTCTTAAGAAATCATCAAGCTTCCTGATCCTGCCCCCTGCCATTTTGTTATCAATGTTTTTGTCATTTCTGTGTTGTCCAGGTCTGGTTTGCATGGACAGTGTTAAATATGGAATCAATATTTGAAGAAGATTCACAGCTTCGCAGAGTTGTGGAGGGGGAGCTGGTTATCAATGCTTTAACTCCTGATCAAGCTTTGAAGGTGAGAGAGCTGGTCATCTCTTTTCATTAAAATTAGAGAGAACTGCTGGAGAAAAGTGTTCTCTTGTGTAATTTAATTTTTTTCTTATGTACTGCTTCCTTACCAGGATAAATGTATAAATAATTCTTTACTTGGCTGAGCAGGGGCAAATATACTGCAAGGAAATTTTCATTGACATTTTGAGTATATTTGAGTTTTTTACATTTAAAAGCTGCAATGGAAATACCTGATTTTACTATATCAATATTTACAGAAAACTAATTTGTGCTTTTGCATAATTCTCTGAGTCACCTAATGCCTCACAACCTTCAGTGCATTTATTCTATACCCCTGATATGGGGAGTGCTTACTTTTCAGGTGGGGAAATGTGTCTGTATTTTAAACAGATGATTTCTCAGATGACCTGAATTGTGCAGAAGACTGGCCTTTGCTTTTCTCTGCTTTCTGAATTGTTTTCCAAGGCTTTCAAAACTATTTAGGTCTCTCCTTTAACAAGGCCCCTAATCAGCTGTACTTCAGGCTACATTGCAGCCTTTTTCAGCTTCTTTGCCCACATTCAGTTAGAAATTCTGGAGAGAAGCAAGTGGAAACCAAAGCTGTCCATTCTCAAAGTGTGTCTTTTGGCACATCCTTCATCTCAGCTGTTTCAGTGTGTTTCAATAAAGGAGGTGGCCCTGTGAAAATAGGTTTTCTTGGCCATGTACATGTACAATCAAGTACATGTCTTGCATCCTTGAATGTGGTCTGGAGAGCATTTGTTCTTTGGGTTACATGTCTTGATTTAGCTGGAAAACAAAAAGAGTGTGGGCAGTGTGTGGAAAAGAGGTTTGGTGTAGGGGATGAGGAAGGGCCAGGGAACTCAGAAAAGCCTCCCATTCCCCTGCTTCAGGCACATCCAGGGGAGCTTGGGGTGAGACTGTTTAATGGTTTAGTAGGTCTGTGGTGTTGCTAAGATGGGATACTGCTACTCATAGTTTGCTTTGATTTTGTTCTGCTTTTGCTTCTGTGTTCCTTCTTCACATTAGTTACACTGCGCATTTTGAATTTTCACTAGAGCTGTATTAAATGTAATCTGGAAAAAGCTAAAAGTAGCATGCTGGAGATCTAAACCAGGGACATCTACTTCTGTGAGGAAGAACAGTAATTAACTGTAATTAACACCAGGGCCCATATGTTTGCCTTGTGCCAGAGCCATCACGCTGGGGGTTTGTAAGCACCAGAGATGTAGTTCTGCTCTCCAGCATGACTGTGGGATGGGCAGCTCATCCTTCAAGGCCTCTAACAGATGTGTGACTGCTTCCAGAGCTTTCTCCCCTGTAATTACCAAGTGTTCACACTGTGTTGATCTGCTCAGTTGCCCCGTGACAGCCTGTTACAGCACCACACTTGTGTGGAAATGTTGTTTCTGCAGAAAGCCCAGGCCCAGCTGAAGCTGCCCATCGTCCCTTCCCTCCAGAGGCTCATGATTTACCGCTGGGCTCACCAGGCCCTTGCTACCCCTGCAGATCACCCTCTCATGCCACTGGTCTGGCAGAAATTCTTCCTCCTGTACCTTCACCGACCAGGACCACAGTATGGGTGAGTCTGACCTGCTCCAGAAGATTATCAAGCACTAATTAAGTGCACAGCAAGCGAGAGTCAGTGCATTACACTGACTGCTCCCCAAAGCAGTGGGTACCAGTAGCCTCTCTGGTGAGCCAGTTTGTCTGCAGAGATGCTGATTTGACGTTTGCAACAAGACTTAGTAATGCTTTTTTGTTCATTTTTAGATTACCTGTAGATGGCTGTATTGGAAGACGCTTTTTTCAGAGTGCAGCTCACGTTAGCTTGCTCAATGAAATGAAGCAGCGGCTGACAGAGGTGGCTGACTTCCACCACGCTGCCAGTAAAGCCCTGAGAGTGGAGAGTCCTGAGAGCACTGACAGGTCACCAGAGAAGGCCAGCTGCTCACCTGATTACCTGACTTCACCTGAGCTGCATAAGGAACTTGTCAGGTAAAAAAAACCCCACAAACCTGCCCTGTTTCATGTTAATCAGTGCAACTGCCTGAGTAACTGCTACAGCACAGTCATGGCTGTGTGAGGAATGAAGGGATGTGACCTCAGATGTGCTGCAGGCACTTTTTAAAAGCATAAAATCATAGAACATTCAGATTTGAAAAAGCCTTTCAAGATCATCAAGTCTAGCACTTAACCCAGCCCTGTCAAGGCCACCACTAACCCATGTCCCCAAGTGCATAGCTGGGCTCAAATCCATTCCTCTGTTTGCATAACTTGTTTAGTTTGAGAGGGGAGTGGGAGGTTTTACTGCTAAAAATAAAACATTGTTGATAGGTTTCCTTTTAGGGGAAGAGCTTTGCTTTTTAATGAATGGTAACCACATGCTGGCAAAATATTTATTATTTAGGCATATCTGCCACTCATGTACATCACTAGCTATAAATGTAAAAGGCTAGTTGGTGTGTATATATGTTTGTCACAGACCAGAGCCTGAATTTATGTCTGAGTAATAGATGATAATCAGATAATTTACTGTTGTCTTAAGCACATAGTTCAAGCAGTTTGCTTGGTTAGTGACCTAAAGGTTAGCTCTGCCAAGTGTGTTCTGTGCCACCTGAAAAATGGTCAATCTGCTTACCAAAACCTCACCACAGGGCTCACTTTTTGTCTTGGAGTAGGCTAAGAAGGGAAACACTGTCACTCGCTGCTACTCAGCTGGTGAATGCTCACTTTTGTGAGGGATAGTAGCTCCTAAGAGGTATCTATACCTCATGTACTCTAAACCTGAGAAAGTATATGAGTATTGCTAGGAAATGGTTGAAAGGATTATTTGAAATATTTGAAAAGAGTCCCTTGTTCAGGGACCTGGATGTGTGGAATTGGAGCTCCTGCTCAGTGCTCCCCTCAGCAGTCAGTAGGTACTGTAGAAACAAATGAGGGAGATTGTAAATCCAACTTGATTGTCTGTGAAAAATAATCCAGAGATGGTCACAGGGTGAACTTGATTAATATTTTCAGTCTTTGATTTCAAATAAGTTTCCTGCTCCAGCAGAAAACCTGAGTACTCTACGCCCAAATAAATCTTACACTCAGGAAGTTTAATGACCTGTCTGGTTTCCTAGACAGGAGGGAAATTATTGGCAGGGTTTATAGGGGCTGATTCTTGGAGTTGGTCTGCTTCCATTTTTTCACCAGTGACACTGATGAAGGAAGCAGGAGTTTGCTAGTGATATTTAATACCACAGTGTGAAGATTTAATGGCATTCTAGTGCTTCCTTGTCAGGATGGCTTGGATGGTGTGACTGTGAAAATGGTACCAGTTGGTGTCAGCTGAAAAAAAGGTGTATTTATGTTAAAGTCTTAACAAAGAAGGAAATGAGAATGAACTAGTCATGAATGAAACTCTGAACAGAAATTAAAAGATGTGACTAAACTCAGGCATGACTTTTTGAGCAGGCACTGCAGAGAGGTTCTGGGGTGAGGAGCCAAACTTGCTCATGTGTACTCTGTTTATTCTCTTGGTCTTCTGAGTGGGATTGTGATGATACTTTCTAACCTAAGAGATTATTCCAGTCCTGGGTCTTATGCTAGTTTGCATAAATGTATTCAGAATTTGTCTTCTTGGTCTTTGTTGATGTCCTTCATGTTTTTCTAAGAACCTCCTTTCCACTGTGGGTCTGTAACTTGGCAGTAAACTGAAATATCTTTTTTTTGACCATGCCACCTTGTAGCATTATTGGTTGCCCTAATTCTAACTTCAGAAGAATCAAATTCACACTGATTTTTTTTCCTTTTTTTCTTTTTTTTTTTCCCCTCAGGCTTTGTAATGTTTTAATTTTGTGGTTGGAAGAAGAGAGTTTCCAGAAAGGAGATACATACATTCCCTCTTTACCAAAGCAGTATGATGCACATAGACTTGCTAAAGTCATGCAGAATCAACAGGTGGGTTGCTGATAACGCTGAAAATCTGAAATCTAAAGTTCGCTTGCTAAAATGAGTCTTTGAAATCAATGAGAGTTGTGTTACTGGTCTTTAATACACATACAGCATGTATGATAACTTCATAGTTCTAACCTTTTTCCTAAAAAACGGTGCTATCTCAAACTGCCTTTCTGTATGTTTGAAGGAGGACTCAAATGTGGATCCTTTGCCAAAATCTGTAATTTTTTGCAACACAATCTTTTTTCTATATGCTCTGTAATGCTTTTTATGTTTTAAGTTAGTGTTAGAGGATTATTTAAGTTGCAGCTTTAAATAATGAAAGACTGGAAGCCAAAACCTGCTTGTGTTGGTAGTCTGTAAAATGGCAGGTTCAGCCATAAGTTAGTGAGTGTGTATTACTCTAGTCTTCAGTTATTTTTCTATTATTCTATTCTTCAAGCCTAAAGACTTATTTTGGAAGGGCGTTTCCTTATACTTGCTTTGTTTTCACTCCTCCAGTGTCTGTGACTACTGGAAATGCAGCCTCCTGTAGGCTGGCTGCAGTTAATCATTCCATGATGTTTTAGACTATCTTGGTCTCTTGTATTCCTTTTTTTGGAGCAGATTTTTAATAATCTATCTTTGTCTCTTATCTATTAGAAATTATATTGTGTGTCAAGTTTAATCTCTAAGTCTCACAAATGCTTTTCAGTAGATCTCTATATATGTTATAAAAATAGTTCAGTGTTTTTCTTCAGTTTAATTTTTTGCCCTTAATAATAAATTTCCTGTGACTTAAAACTGCAGGGTATATATTTTAGGTAGTTACTTTAGTTTCACAGCTACTAGAATGGGTGGACAGCACATGGTGCTGACCAAAACAGAGATGATAATTGAATTATTTTGTGCTCCAGGATCTGTGGATGGAATATGTCAATGTGGAACTCATTCACCATGAGTTTCAGGAAGCTCTGAACCTTTGGGTGCAGGTTCAGCTTGAATCACATCCAACCTGTGCTTCTGCAGGGGAAACAGATTTCACCAACCCTTTGTCAGGTAAGAGGTAAAAATAAGGAAACTGTGCCTTAAAGAATTACTGGGATGTCAAAGCCCTGGTTTCTTTAGAAGCTTGATGATGCCTGTCAGTAAAGATATTAAAATGGTTTGTTTTCTGTGGGTCCAATATTTTCCATGAAGTTGTCATGGTTTTCTCACTCAGATTTTCATGATGACATGAAAATTATGACATTGATGCTTTTTGGCTTCAAGTTTGCCATGTCACACAGCAGAGCTAGGGCATCATGGGTAAGCTCCCCAAGAGTTCCTCTGCACAGAGTGTGCTCCAAACATTTCCCAAAATTAGAGAGAGACAGGTGAAAGCAAAAGTAAAACCAACTGTACTTGAAAACATATTGTCTCTGTTTTTTTTTTTAGTTTAGTTTGTTTGTTTGTTTTTTGTGTTGTTTTTTCCCTGTGTGTTTTCTCTGGAATTTTGGCATAGTGAAAGGGCTGTTCTAGCACAGAAGGGGTGATGGTCACAGCTGATACATTAAGGATGTGGAGAGATTGGATTTGGAGCTGATCCAAAGAGGAAGGAGTGAGGGAATAGAAGGGAACTGGAATAGTTTCATAACGGAAACTGAATGGAAATCAGCAGGAGGAGAGGGCTGACCCAGAGAGAGGCTGTGCTCTGAGAAGGAATTGACACTGACAAGACTACTGGTGAGGATCAGTTTAGGGAAAGGAAGATGAATTTTGCTTAGAATTTTGTCTGGGTGCGTACGTCAGATGTAAAATAAATGGAGTGACAGGAAAACTGTTTGGGGAAAACAAGGAAACCAGCAGGTCTTTTGGTCCTAATCTTTGTCTGATGGAAGAGCTGGTCCTGAAAATTAGCTGTGTGAAATAAAGTTTGACAAAAATAAGAATATTAGTTGGGTGATTTTTTTTTTCAGAGAGGGAAACCTGAGAAATATTTGCCTGCAGTTAAAAATGCCTCGTGCAAGAAAACGAATGTTTTTGTTCACTTTCTCATAACTTTTCTTATTGACCAAACTTGCTTCTGCTTTTTTAAAATCTTTTTTGTAGCCAAAGTGAGGATCATGAATAATTTGAAGAAGCTGGACACTCCCAAGCCCCCTCTGCCTCTGCAGACGATGAAAGCTCCTGTGCCAGTGATTTCCTCGGCCACCCTGGTGAGCCAGAAGGACGCGATCCAGCTCATGCGCAGGGACCTGAACATCCTGCAGCAGCACGCCAAGTGAGTCCTGTCTGTGCTCCCTGTGCCTCTCCCGTGGGTCCAGCACTGCCTTGAAATTATTGTGGAGTCACAGAATTGGGTGGGGAGGCGCCTCAGAGCCCAGCCCATCTCACCCCTGCCATGGGCAGGGACAGCTCCCACTGTCCCAGGCTGCTCCCAGCCCCATCCAGCCTGGCCTGGGACACTGCCAGGGATCCAGGGGCAGCCACAGCTGCTCTGGGCACCCTGGGCCAGGGCTTCCTCACCTTCACAGGAAACAATTTCTTCCTAAAGATGCCCTTCACAGCCGCCTCATTTATGATATTAGCACAAGTCAGTACTTCTGCTTCTTGTCCCGTTTGTTTCCTCTTTCTTCTGATCTATCAGGTCATTATTCTACTTCTTCAACTGACATAAGAGTGCACAAGTCTTACCTAATGACTGAGATTACATCAGATGGCATCTAACTTATTTTCTTATTTGGCACATTTACTGTCTAAATTCTCCTTTTAGGCTAGATTTGTTGACAGTGAGTTACTTAACCCTTTTGCACTAAGGTAGTAGTTGCAATGTGAAGCACCCAGGAGAGAAATCTGAGTTCTGGTTTTGGTAGCTTTGTTAATGAAAGAGACTTTCTGTTTTTAATATTCCAACTCAGATAATCCAGTTGAATTGTTTTCAGTCACAACTGGTCAATCTATAGCTGTTCTTACCTAATTTAGTAATTTAATAACAGTATTTTGAACCAGACCAAAAGCTACTAAGCCCATGAGAGGCTGTATCTAAACAATTCCACTATCAGTTTTAGGTGGGCTCTCTTTTTACTGTTTTCTGGTTTGTTTTGTTTTTGTTTTTGTTTTGGTCTGGCAGAAAATTGCATTTCTTGTAGAGATTATTCTGTTCAGTTTCCTTCCAGGTTGTCATATCAAGTAATTCAAGAGAACTCACACATATTTGAGTAGTTTTGTTTTTATGAACCTGGTTTTTTTTTTTTTTTTACTTTGAAGTGCTATTACTTTGAAGTTTTAGCTCAATTTCATTTGATAACCTTTTATGTTTTCCAGCAATGTGTCATGAGTCTTTGCACAGCACATTAAATTGAAGTCTCCTCTCTTAAAAATTCTCAGCATTGCTGTTTTCAGGAAAGATTTTGGTAATTTTATTAATAAATGCCTTTCAGAACTGCAGCTCTCTGGGAGTCTCAGCATGTGGCTCTGAACAGTGAGATCCTGGACACGGTGCCCAAGCTGTATGTCAACAGGGAGGAGCAGATCACTCTCCACCTGGAGTGCCGGGGAACTTCAAATAAAGGCTGCCAGGGAGCAGCTCAGCTCACCATCCAGGTCAGAGGCATGGCACCACCTCTGTTTTGGGGCTGGTGAGCACAGAGGATGAGTGTGAAATGGCTGAATTATTGTAAAAGTGGTAGCATTTGACTGAATAATCCACGCACATATTAGTGATCTGAAATACCTCATGTAATGCTCAAAAGGACAAGCAGATCAACAGCTGAAGAATAAGTTGTTGCATGATTTGTTTTGCTCATGGCATCCATTCTAAACTGCTTCCCAGTGTATGGATATGGGAATTTGCTTGCTGATAGGAATAGAAGCATGAAAATGTTTATGGAAATACTACCATGTTGCTTAGTAAATTAATTTTTTGATCCCCTCTAAGTTTCAGTCCCTGTGGATTAAAAGCCTTAGATAAAAGACATGAATTCTCTTAGTGTGTGTGATAACTAATTGGGAACATGGCCAAGGATGTGTGCTTGGGCACTATGTACTAAATCTGATGAAAGCTCTCATGGGGAAAACCATCCAAATTCAGAGTTCTCTGACTGGACTCTGCTTAGTTTTTGGAAATAGCTGCAACATGGAAGAGTTCTAGCAAAATCATGTTAATTCTGCAACGAATATGTGTCTTTTTGTCATTTAGTTTGAAGGGAAGCACAAAAATGAAGCAGTGAGCCAGCAGCTTCATGCTTTGCGTAAAGAAGTGAGGCAGCTGCAGGCAGAAGCCATGAAGCCACCTTCCCTGGGTGTTGTGGAAGCAGCTGTGCACGTGGAGAATTTCATAACGTAGGTTGCTCAGATGCTGCTCTGGGTAGTGGTGTTTGTGCTTCCGTTTTGGTGTGTTAAGAGTTAAAATGTGGAACCTGTTTGTGTGTTTTCCCTGAGCTCATCAGCTCAGGCCAGCAGCAGAGCTGGAGTCCTGAGACCTGTGTGTTTGTGACACAGTGATTCTTATTGTGAGAGGGTCACTCAGGCTCAGCAGGGCACACAGTATGGTGCTGTACTTCTGTTTATTGTTTTCTACTTCTTTTTATTGTTCTCTGCCTCATAATAGCCCTCCTAATGCTGTAAAAGGACACTGAGTGATGACAAGGATGCTGTGCTAAACTTTAGGAAGTGGCAAACTTGTACCACAGCTGTTTCAGCCATAGCCTAAATTACATTATGTGAATATGACTCTCTATGGGTTTTTCTTCATTATAGTGCAGGACATAAATCTTTATTAGAGTGCTAAAATTTGAAAATGTTTTTCAATACATGAAACAAAATGATGCTGTGAAATAATACCTAGATAATACCACTTTTTTTTTTTGGGGGGGGGTATGAATAAAATGGGATCATCCAAGGCCCTCTTCCTCACTTTTACAGTTTATCTCAGAGGTTCACTTTAGCAACTTTATCCTCAATCTTCCAGATTTCTGCTGGGATTCTCTCAGTGCAGCTGGTTTACTATAGTGTAATGATTATACAAGTAAAAGTGTTTATGTACTACTTCTTGTTCATTCTTCATCACTAATCTGAAAAATTCTGTGGATGAACTAATTCTTGGAATTTACGTCTGTGGAATTGCATATTCTTCGCCTGTTTTAATTCAGATTTAATGAAGACAGGGGTTTGGTCTCAATGAAACATTTATTTAGCAATGTACAAGAAAAGATTGATTGTGATTTAGTTATTTTATTGTTGAGCCTGTGAAATAAAATGGGTTAGGTTTCCTTGCAATACAAAGGCAGTTGAAACACCATCAGAATATGGGGAGTACATGATTAAAGGGAGAAACAATGCATTGGAATTATGCTTTGGATATTTTTCAGTGTTCACTTTCTGACTCTGATTATGGAGACTTTCTAAAGTTTGGAGGTATCCATTTCAGGCAGCAAAATTACATGAGCTAAATCTGTGACTTTTCATTCTGGATACGAGAAGGAGGGATACTCAGGGAGTATCACAAATACTCATCTCAAGGCTATACATTGAGAAGAAACCTTTATTTATTGTCACAGGTTATTTTCCATACATAAATTTAATTTGCCTTTTTAACTTAATTTTTTTAGGGCCCTGATAAATATCTACAAGGTGCAGCCTATGCCTGCAATCAAGAAAGTTGGAATTGGTTTGTTTTTCACATTGGTAGAATATGTGTGTGATGAAACTCAACGTAATCCTCCCACGAGGCAGTTCTTCACATCCTGCATTGAGATTCTGGGCCAAGTGAGTTTATTTCTTGAATCTGAAAATATTTTCTAAATTTTTAAAATTTGATTTTTGATGCCTATATTTTCCAATTTCACTGCTGTTAGTGGGGGGGAGGTGGTCCTAAATGTGTTCAGAAGTTTTAAAGTTCATTTCTGAGCTTCTACCCCATTTTGTTTTCAGCTAATTGTATAATGTGCACAGTCTTTAGGAGAGGTGAAGTTTAAATTTAAGCAAAATAAAAACTTGCTCTGTGGTGTCTCTGCTTAGTGTTAATAAATTGTCATTGTGTGAGTTAATTTAAATGCTGGAGTTTTGGGCAGGTAACTAAGGTTTGGATACTTTCAGTTCTTAGAAGTGTTTCAGCATAGACTTTGCTTTTACCTGTTGCTTTCTGGTTGATGCACATCTTGTCAACCTCCGTATTTAGACTAAACCTTTCTTCTACAGCCTTGCTTTGTTCTCTGTCTAGTGAGTTGTATCAGAAGTTTGCTGGTAGAGAAGACAAGTGCTTGGTGGTGGTAATGTGTGCTGTGCTTGTGCTCTGAGAAAATCATTAGCCTCTGCTTTGGGTCCAGATACTTACTTTTATCTTAAATATAGCTTATTTAGTGTGCAGCTGTCCTTGAGCTCCTCTAAAAGCCAAAGTAGTGAGAAGTTCTTCAGAGCTGTAATTCTGTTAAATTTTTCCTATTATTAAGCAGGGCTGGTGAAATCAGGATTCATTTTCTTATGCTACTCCATCAGAAAAAATAGTATTTCTGGGTATTTTAGCCAACATATGTTATCACAAATACTGGTATAAATTGAGCTAGGAAGAGATATTTGTTTTGTGTTATATCTTGTGGAATAGCAGCATTTAGATGATGTCAATCTTATAATCTCAGTCTCTTGTTTTTGAGGAAAACTTCTTATAAAGTTTTCCTTTTTATAAAAGGACCAAAACTGTGGGTGTCTCATCAACAAGCTAAAGAGGTGTATTTTCCAGCTGACTGATATTTGGCTGATATTTTTTCCACCATTCCCACTTCTCTCAGGTGTTCATCAGTGGGACCAAATCAGAGTGCAAGCGTCTGCTCCAGACCATCCTGCACAACCGGAGGCTCTGTACTCTCCTCTCTCCTTACTTCACTCCTGTAGCCTCTCCCAGTGAATTTGTGACTTTGTATGAAAAAGTCGTGGCCTTTCTGAGTGAGGATAACAGCGATGTTGTCTTCATGCTGCTGACAAAGGTGGGTGTTCTTTGCCTAAGGACCATGCCCTTAAGCTAAAGAGGAAGGAGATACAAATCTGGTACTTCAAAATAGCATTGATAGATTCTGTAGAGCTGTGTTGGTCATACTGGGTGTAAGTGTTACATTTAAGCTCAAGAGGGGCTGGAGTGAAAAGCAAATAGTTTAAGTAGCCTTTTCTAGCCCAGATAGTATCAGTTTGTGCCTCCCAGGGCTTAGTGCTGAAATTAAAACTATCTCTTGATGACTACTTCTGCCTGGTATCTCTGCAGACATTCATTACAATAGCTAGTGCATGCCGGGTATCTAACAATCAAAACAAAATTTGGGACAGTGTTCTGCATTTTCCAGCTCTCTTTGGTACCTGTGTCCTTCCTGCCTGTCTTAAAACAGAGTAAGGTAATAGCAAGATGTGATTTGCATATCTCATGATACTGCCAGTGGAGAAATTAGTGTAACCCTTGGCCTTTGATAGTGCTCTGATTTTCCTCTTCAGTTACAGGGAGGCAGCAGGCAGTCTGTCCTGGGCAGGATCTGAGCTGTGCATGGTGGCAGTATTGACCCTGCTGACCAAGGTCTGAGCCACTGCTCAAGGGCTACAAAAGCTTTGCTCCTCTTCCTGAAAATATATGGACTGTGGGCATCAGTCCAGTTTAATGCTTGTGTGGAAACTCTGAGCCCCTCGGGAAAGGGCTGTTCCATAGATCTAGAGACTTCTGCAGTGTGCTAAATCATGGCCTTTGAGAGTGAGGTTGGGAGTTCGGGCTAACAACATGCAAATTCATGATGTTTTTCTTAGATACATAGAAATATCATTATTTAATTTCCCTGGTGACCTCTCCCTCCTTCCAAAGGTGTTGTGTCTGCTGAATCTCCCGCTCACAGCTGCTCCCTGTGCTCTGTTGCAGTTTGACCTGACGCAGTGGTTGAGCGTGGCCAAGCCGCCTCTCGTGGAGCGCACCCAGCTCCTGGAGTCCATTCACCTGGCCCTCAATGCATGTGGCCTGGAACCTGAAGAGGATATTTTGATGCCATTTAATATCTTCTGCAAGCATTGGACTAACCTTCTCCAGTATCAGTTCCCTGACCACTACAGTGATTTCTTAAGGTTGTTCGTGCAAAGTGAGTATCTGAGCTGATGCGTCCTAAGCCTTTGTGCAGAACCCTTCTGGCTTAAAAACATGAACCCTGTGCAGTAGAGTTAAACTGCAGAGTGTTTTACACTTCCGTAGGTTTCTGCCTTGGGTGTTTTTATGTGCCTTGCTATGTAATGTGGTTTTTTAGGACATATTGTAGTTCTTCTGTGGGTCGAGGCATACACATCAGTGACAACATTTTCATCCCATGTAACAGGAAAAGGATGGAGGGGAGTCTTCTGTTAGTGGACTATTAGTCCATATTTAGCACCAATTAGGCCAATATTAGCACCTATTTATGATGATTATGCCATGGTCTGTAATTCAGAACCCTTGTTTTTGATTACCCTTCAATGTCAGGTGGAGAGCTGGAATTATGATCATGTGTAACTGATGCTGAAATCTGCTGAAAATGTCCTGGTTGACATTTGATGCCACTCATATTCTGATGTGCCCCTCAAATGAGAACAAAAGTGATTCTCCTTGTCAAACCATGTCTGTTGAGGGAGCAGCTGTCTCTTAGTGGGTATTTGCAGCCAGGGATATACAAAGTGGGAAGCTGTCTAAGAAGAGAAACATGTAGGTGCCAAAAGGAAATGTTATGTTGATTACATTTGCAAGCTAGAGATGATCTCTCACCCTTAAACTTGGGGCTTTCAAGCTCCCACTTCACCTAATTTCTCAAGAAGCAGGGAGCTCTAATTTCAACCCTGTTTGATTTGTTTGGAGAAAGGGACTAACATCTTTCTGGTTTTCACAAATGCATTCCCTTCCTTCTCCTAAGGCTCCTCAGAGCAGCTTCTGAGCCCTGACTGTTGGAAGGCATCACTTCAGGCTTTGGGGTGTGATTCTGCAGTGGCTGAGCAGGGCAGTTTCAAGAAAAGTGATTCTGCTGAGGGTCCTGTGGTGAGGGATGCTGCAAAAACTCTGCTCTCCACAGAACAGGTGGGTGCCCCTTGGGTTGGTTTGGGTTTTTCAGGTGATACAGATGCCCTCCAGTGACAGGTAACACTGCTGTGCAACTTTCCTGCAGCTGATTTGTAGCTTCCTTCTTTTTACAGGTCAGAGAGACAATAGAATGGCTTTCTACATCCTTCTGCAAACTCCGGCTGGCCTCGGTGGACTTCAGGACTTTTGGGCTGTTTTCAAAATGGACTCCTTATGTGGCTGCAGTGAACACATTCCTGGAGTACCTCATTAAACGACTGATTGACACTGAAGTTGCTAATTTAGCCCAAGAGCCTGTTGGCAGTAGCAGAATTTTAGCAGGTAATGTGTCTTAAAAGCAAATTACTTAAGAACAGACACCTGATTTCTCCAATTCCCTCTGTTAAGGTCCATTTAAATATACAGCAAAATCTTACTTTGCATTTGTGCAGTAATGATAATATTAAAATATGGATGGGAAATGTTGCTGCTACTTCATGGCCATGTAGGACTTTATGCTTTATAATCTGAGAGGAAGCTTTTTCAATATTTGAGCTTCCTTCAAGATTATTTTATGAGGCAATTGTACTTTCTTAAGAAAAATAGAGTCTTTTGTACTGAGCAGAGGTTTGTAGGGCAACACTACTGAATTTCATTGTGCATTATTTAAATCTGGAAAAAGTCAGCTTTTACTTTTTTTTTTAAACTAATTTTAATTTAAATATTAATTAACACATTTTAATATGTGCAGGTTTAAAGCATGGATCGTTATTGCCCCCACAATCTCTTGTGTGTTATAAAAAGTGTATTAATAAAACATCTTAACAATGCAAAATGCTTACAATGGTTGTTAAAACAGCCCTATTGTTAAATTAAGCTATTATTAAGCATATTGTATTTTAAATTTTTATTTCACCAGAAAGAACTGATTGAGTGGTTGGACTCAATGATCTTAGAGGTCTTTTCCAGTCTTGATTATTCTATAATTCTGTGAATGTTAGAATGAGAAAGGGATATTATATCCACATTTAGAAAAGTGTAATATATTCACTGGTTTTGATTTGAAGGAAAAAAGCAACTTTGTTTTGTTTCCTTATAGCATTGCAGTCCTTGTACTCAGTGATTGCTGGACTCTTTAAACCATGGATACTGGTCCTGGAGAAAGAAGATGCAAGGTATATATTGCATTTTAAAATTAAATGAATTTTTGCTGAAGTAGACACTTTAGTCCTTTAAGAATGGCTTTCATTATTACCTGTTTTTTAATAATTTGTGACTGTCTTGCCTTCCATTTAAATAGCTCTCACTTTGTCATTTCCTTAATAATTACAGAGCTATTTCATGACCTACATCAATTTGCCAAGGTTTAGATGGAATAATTATTTTAGATATGAGAAAGACCTTGTAATACTACGAGCAAGGCTTGATTATTTGAAGGGTTTCACTCAGTTTGAAAAACACTGAAACTTGAATTTCAGATTCCTGTTTTTTAACTTCCATAATATCTATAATACCTGTTTAAAAGAAAACAAAAAAGCCAAACAAATACAACCCCAAATGCCAGTGGTATAGATAAAGAAATTTAGGCTAAATGAATGCTGTGATCATCTATTGCCCTGTGTACCTCTGTCTTTGCATGAAAAGTTACTTATGCTACTATGCATTTAAATTCTGTTTTCTTTCAAAGTTTAAAGCTTTTGGAGTTGTGAGTCCGGCCTTCAGCACTGAAGGTAGAAGGTTGATAGCAGTTGGTGAATAATGTTATTGAGAAACTGTTATTTAAACTCTGTTATGAAATATCAAACAAGTAATTTATGCTTACTCGGTGGATCATCAGTGGGATAGTGAACTATGCAGCTCTTCTAAGGAAGAAGAGTCCCAAAAAGCTGAAATTGGGAGGACTGCTGATGCCTATCCTTCACTGCTTTAGGGTATTTAAATTGCACATATTTATGCACAGGTAACTGAACACTGCAATTTGTGTTGTGCTTCTTCTCAGTAGCCAGCCCTGCTACCCTTGGCTGGAGAGTGACACTCCTGTAGCCTCCACCGTGGTCAGTCTGTTTGCAGATTGCATCAGGCTTTTGCATGAGAGCTTCAAAGGTGAGCATGAAATCCTAAGCCTCCCCACTTGTTGATTTGGAGGGAAAAAAATACTAAAGTTTGGTGTGCATTTTTTTCTTTGGGTGTATTTTAATGTAACTTACAAGTTTTTAATCTGCAAAAATAGACTTTATTCTGCGATCAAGTTTTATCTGAAATTTTTTCTGCTGTTAATTCAGCCATTTTCTTTGATTCTAGAAAAGCTGTTGCCAAGCCACCATGGGGCTCTCTGGTTGCACCTAATGCATTACTGTGAGTGTTGCACAGCCCCCAAAATGCCAGAGTTTATTCTCTACGCTTTCCACACTGAGTTCAGAAGGCTTCCATGGAAGGAAATGCATCCAGACCAGATGCTTATGGAAGAATTCTTTAAAGTGAGTTTGTGGCATCTGTTGAATTAAGTTCATAGTCAGTGCTGCCCTTGAAAATAGCTGGAGAACAGTTCTGTTAGCAAGTGGGCTTTTAAAGTTTGTTTTTAGCATTCACAGCTGCTCAATTTGTGATGGATTTTTGTGAAGGAGTGCTTTTGAGTCTTAGACAAAGTTGTGGGGAGCTATACAGCTCCCTCTTTATTGATCTGCTGGAGTGTCTCATTTATTGCATATGTATTTAATGGTTTTAGTTAGATTTAATATATTTTGCTATTGCCATGTTCTCACTTCCAAGTCATCTGAGACAAGGTAAATGTCTCAGACGACTTGGAAGTGAGAACATTTACAAAGGTAAAGCTGCAAGAGGGAGAATGAAATGATGGAGAAAAGACATTTCTCTACTCTTCTGCTGACCTAAAATGCTGCTGTAGATTTACAGCTGGCTAAGGAACTGAAAAGCATAAAAGTACTTATGTCCTACATCATTTTATGCACCTGTCTTTTCCCCTTTCTCTTTCCTAGATCGAAAGAGGCAGCCCCAAGAGTTGTTTCTTGTTCTTGGGTTATGTTTTATGTGAAGTAAACTGGGTCAGTGTCCTCTCTGATGCCTGGAATCCCAACCCTCACCCTCAGACCCACAGCATGATTGTCTGTTTGCTGTACATGATGGTCCTGCTGGCAAAGGAGGAACAGCTCATAGGCGAAGAGGTAATTTTCGTGACTGTTCATACCCATCTCTTAAAAGAAAAATAATCCTTTACTAGAAAGGACACGAGATCTTGTGACTAAATCCACTTCATTGCTTCTGGAGGACTCTTCAGAGGGTCTTGATCATCTTAAAAAGTCCCATTTCACATCTGCTAGCTTTCTTCCACTTGCAGAATTTTCTGCTCCCCATTTCCTCTGAGGCAGTACAAGATGCTGCACCAAGATGTCACTGGCAGCCTTTGACCATCATTGTATTTCAGTTTAGGAAAATTACCAGCATGATGTGCTTTGACCTGAATGTGTTTGCTTATCAGAAGCTTCTCAAGCTTCAGAAGACAGCTGTTTGCACATGGTGTGAGTCAGCCTCAGGAATTCCCTCCTTCCCTCCAGCAGTGTGTTAAACTGACCCACTGTCAGGAGGATTTTTGCCTCCCAGAGCACTCCTGTGACACCTTGATCTAAATCTCAGACTTTCTCAACCCTGTGTTCCAGGGCATGGGCCACCTGAGGAGTACTTGTTGTACCAGTGTCACATTCCTGTAGAAGTAGTGTAATTTGGGTTGGTTCTGGATTGTCCCCTCAATTCCAGCATTTCTTCTTTCTAAAACCTGTAGAAACATAGAATAGAATATAGAATATCCTTAGTTGGAAGTAATCATTGAGTTCAACTCCTACCCCTGCACAGACACCCCAACAATCCCACCCTGTGCATCCCTGGCAGCGCTGTCCAAACCCTCCTGAGCTCTGGCAGCCTTGGAATGTGCCCATCCCTAGGGAGCCTGGGCAGTGCCAGCACCCTCTGGGGAAGAGCCTTTCCCTGATATTCAGTCTAAACTTGTAAAAAAGCTCCATACCAGCTGGTGTTTCTCTGTGTCCAGGGGGCTCTTTATCCCTGCAGATGTTTAAGAATAGATGGGAGCTGCTCATAGACAGAGAGGCTTTTACATCTGCTGACTGGCACTGCCTGTGTGAGCTGTGGGGCTGCTGTGCTGTTCAGGGTGGTATTTATGAGAATAACAATATGAGGAGTCCCCAGGTTGGTGGATGACTCACTAAATGGAAAATGAGGGACACAGTTTCTCCTGTGAACTTGCATTGATGTATTTTCAAAAATAATATTTTAATGCCTCTTTAAAGACTGTACTGAAGTGACTTTAACTTGAAGGGTCTCCGTATATTTCCAGCTGTCTTTACATGTTTACATGTCAGATCTTAGCATTTTTCACAGACTTTTGTTAGAGCTGCTGCAACAGACTGGATGCAGTTCTGCAAGTGCTGGAGATGAAGTACATGTGTTAGCTTACTGCTTGAATAAGGAATTGCTTTACAGACACACTCCCTAAGGTCATCTATTTCTGTGGGTTTTCAGCTCCATCTCCTTCAAATTCTCTGAAGCTAGAGCTTCCTTCCAATGTTGAGTACGGTGAGTATGAATTGAAACCTGCAAAGAAGGTGCAGCTTAAACTGATGTCTTTAAATCTGCAGGAATCTCCACTCATAAATCTTCTTGGACAGACCAGCTCCCTTCCTTGGCAGCTTGTGGGCATTTCATCCTATGAAAGCATCATCAGTTACTGCAACAGTCACTACCCTCCCTCTGTTATCCTTGCTAAGGATGCTGGAGCTGAACTGATCGTGAAGCTCCTGAAAATCTCAGCTGGCTTTGGGGCATCTTCAGATAGTCACATCCACCTTGTGAGTTGAACTACTTTTTGAAGCATCTCCTTGCTGTTCTTGGCTTTTGTGAAGTTATGTTTGTGTATATTATAGAATATGGAAAGAGTTCTAGGTGTGATTTTTTTAAAAATCTTTTTGCCCCTAATTGTTTTTAATTTTGCTTGACAGGATGCAACTCTGAAGTGCCGAGCGTACATTCGCCAGGTGGTTCAGTTCCTCAGCACCTTGGAACAAAGTGGAAAGATAACCCTTGCAGTTTTGGAGCAAGAAATGGCCAAGTTGCTAGATGATGTAGTCATCTTTAATCCCCCAGGTTTGTGTTGGGGAAATGGCAAATTGCTTCAAAGGTGTCAAAATCCTTTATTCCATGGAGTGGATTGATGAACTTGTTTGATGGCTTAATTATTTGCATTATGTCATGTCTCCCTTATGGACAGCAGGGCATGGTGTTTTGGTGATGTGTACATAGGTGGTATATTAGCACAAAGCAAAAATATGAATCTTGCCCTACAGAGAAGTCAAGAGTGACAGAACCAACATTAAAAATGGATTAAGTTTGTGAGTAAAACTGGCTGACATAGAGGAGCTTGGGTGATTAATTTCTTTGTCATCTGGTGGTTTGGGGTTTTTTCTAATTTTTACTTGTCATTTACCTCTCTTTTAAAGGGAAAAAGGGCATGAATTCATTCTCCTGGTCCTGAGGGATTAGGAGCAATGGATACAAACTGAAATTGGGAAGATTATGTTAGGTATTAGGAAGAAATTCTTACTGTGAGGGTGGTGATGCACTGGCACAGGTTGCCCAGGGAAGTTGGAGGTGCCTCAGCCCTGGCAGAACTCTGGGCCACATTGGGTAAGGCCTTGAGCAACCTGATTTCGGGGAAGTGCCCCTGCCTATGGCAGGGGGGTTGGAGCCTAGATGGTATTTAAGGTGCCTTCCAACCCTGAATATTCTGTGTTCTGTGACTCAGAAATGGTTCCAAATTGTAAAACCAGGAAAACTTGACAGTGTTGAAGTAGAAGAGGCATACTGGTGTACCATAGTGATATAACACGTCCAGTCATCCAGGATTGTGTGGTGAGATCATCTAGGTCTCATTTTTAGTACTAGTACCATCTTGAGGTTCCTCCATCAATCTGAGTTCAGGTGAAATCCATGTCTCACTGTATTCCACAGAAATGGTTATGAGGGGTTGTGTCTCTTCCTGCCCATGGGTGTGTAATGAGGAGGAGGCTTTCCCAGTGGTAATCTGGGTTCCAGTGTGTGTCCCTGAAGGGATTCTGTGGTTTCTCCTGGCAGACATGGACCTGCAGACGCGCCACCTGGCCCTCAGCAGCCTGTTCACGGAGACGCTGATGATGCTCAACAACTCAAGCATCACCACGGCCGAGTCCTTGCGGGGCAGCCTGCGCCGCTGGATC